TTTGCTGACACTCTATGAAGCATGATGTCCTTTACAAGGTCCTGACCCCTCCTGATAACTTGTCCAAAGTATGTGGAAAAAAAGTCTCTCCATCCTTGCTTTTAAGAGCATTCTGGCTGTACTTTTTTCCAAGAGAGATTTGTTTGCTCTTTACAAATCAATGATACATTCAACATTCTTCACCAAAACCGTTATTCAAATGCATCAATTCTCCAGTATTTCTTATTCATTATCCAGCATTTGCACACATATGAGGCAATTGAAAATACCATGGCTTGGGTCATTCAGACCTTAGTCCTCAAAGTGACGTCTTTGCTCTTTAAGAATGCATTGTTTTTTGAACTGATGAATTTAGGAAAATAAATTATTCTAATATTGTATAAAATTCTTACAGAGTGTTCCATTGACTTATTTAGGAGATCTTCCTCAAACTCAGAAGTTGACTACTTAGTCTCCTCATTGCTCTCTTCATATCCTTGTTCCTCAATGTGTAGATAGCAGGATTCAGTATGGGTGTAATCATGAAGTCCAAAATGGCAAGAAACTTATCCACTGGCACTGTGGGAAATGGCCACACATAGACAAAAATGCATGGTCCAAAGAACAAAATCACTACAGTGATGTGAGCTGACAAAGTAGAGAGGGCTTTAAACAAGCCATTTGAAGAACATTTCCACACAGTGACCAGGATAAAAACATAAGACAAAATCAACAAGAAGAGAGTTCCCATAGAAATGAACCCACTGTTGGCAGTAACCATGAACTCCAATCTGTAGGTGTTTGTGCAGGCAAGTTTGATAAACCGAGGTAGGTCACAGTAAAAGCTGTCTACTTCATTAGGACCACAGAAAGGCAAATGGATAACAAATGCTAGCTGGGCCACTGAGTGAATGAGACCAATAACCCAAGCACCAATCAGAAGCCAAATGCACATTCGTGGACTCATGATGGTCAGGTAGTGGAGAGGCTTACATATGGCTACATATCGATCTAAGGCCATGGCTATGAGCAGCACCATCTCAGATCCACCCAGGATATGAAGTACAAAAATCTGAATGACACATCCCTGGAATGATATAGTGTTTTTCCCAGAGGACAAGTCAGAGATCATCTTTGGAACCGTTAATGTAGAAAGACACAAATCAATAAATGAAAGGTTGGCTAGCAGGAAGTACATAGGGGAATGCAAATGAGAGTCAAAAGTCACTGTAAACACAATGATGAGGTTCCCCAGTACAATTGCTACATAAAACACTGTAGAAAAGGTAAGGAGAAAATGCTGCATTGGTCTAGAGGTAGAAAGTCCCAGGAACACAAATTCAGATACCTCAGAGTAATTTGCTCTATACATTGACTTTGTTCTTCCTAAAACAAAGCAAAGTAAAACAAAAAGACACAAACCAAAGAGATAAAAAGATATGTAGATCAGAAATAAACAATGATAGACACACATGTTTTAAAACTATAGTATTAAAATAAATCTTCACAGCTATAAAATATTTTGAAAAATTCATGAGCTTGTTTATCTAGTCAAACTAGATTCCTAATGAACATTTACTGTATGCCACATATTATGTCAAGATGTGAGATAAAACTGAGAGCCTGGCTTCATGGGGTTTACAGTGTAATGGTTAGAGCTAAAATTAAATAGTCATAATTACAGATAAAATTATGTTAATTTATTTGAAGGAACAAAACTGAGTACTATGAGAAAAATATAAGTAATCAAAAAGGTGCCTGCTCTGAACTCTGTTAAATACACTGTTCTTAATAAATTGTAAGTAAAGTTATTCAAACTGAGGAATTGTCATGTTCAAAGGCCCTGATAGGAGACCAGTGGGACAAGAAGATGAATAGTTGAGATCCAGCTATAATGATAGAGTGCAAAATCTGTGTCAATAATAAGAACTTTAATGTTGATCCTAAGAGCAATAAAAAGACATTGAAAGATCTTAAGCACTAGTCTTGTCATATTTCTGCTTTCAAACTGTCACAGTACTGCCAATGGAAAGAAAGGGCTAAAGTCAAGCTTACAATGACCTATGAAAAGATTTCTGAAGAACCAAATCACATGAGTGTAGACAAGGGGAATTACTCAGCAGATGGTGTGGTCACAACAGATAAAAATTGGAAAAAAAACAAAATTTCAAATTGATACTTAAATACTAAAGAAACAGATCAAAAGCCATAGGACAGACAAACACCAAGTAGAGAAATTCATTTTAAGCCTATTCCCATAGTCATAAAACTTAGAAAAAATATTGACAACATTAAAAATATTAAAATATGTTATGAATATAGATTATGTGTCTCTCTAGGATAAGGACTGCACTGATAGCTGCAAGTGGTTCAAACCCACAGTCTGCTCCTCAGAAACCCCATACAGTGAGAACTGACTTGACAACACTGAACAACAACATATATATATATATATATATACATCAATATATCATGTATATACCACTATATCATATATATATATATATATATATATATTGTTGTAGGAGTCTTGGTGTGGCACTGTGGGTAATGCAGTGGAGTACAAAATCTATTCGAACTACAAGATCAACAGTTCAAACTCACCAGCCACTCTTCACAATACCAAATGTTGCATATATATGTATATATATTTCAGAAACCTTTTACAGGTCCACTATGGGTCGGAACATACTCAACAGCACTTAACAACAATAACGACAGCATGTTGTTGTAAGGTGCTATCGAGTGAGCTCCAACTCATAGTGACCCTATGCACAACACAAGGAAACATTGCTCAGTCCTGCACCATTCTTACAATAATTGTTATGCTGGTGTCCATTTTTGCAGCCGTGTGTCAATGTATCTCATTGAGAGTTTTTCACCTTTTCGCTGACCCTTTACTTTTCCAAGCATGATGTACTTTTCCAGAGACTGGTCCTTTCTACAACACATCCAACATATAAGAGATGAAGTCCGCTACCCTCTCTTCCAAGGGTCATTCTTACTGTTCTCCTTCCAAGACAGATTTGCTTGCTCTTCTGGAAAGTCCATAATACTTTCAATATACTTCAAATAAAAACATAATTTAAGTGCATCAGTTCTTCTCCGGTCTTCCTTTTTCATTATCCAGCTTTCACATGTAGATGAGGCAATTGGAAATATCATGATTTGGGTCAGATGTACCTTAGTCCTCAAAGTGACATATTTGCTCTTAAGCAGTTTCAAGGAGTCTTTTGCAGATTTGTCCAATGCAATGTCATTTGATTTCTTGACTTCTTCCATTAGTGTTGATGATGGCTCCCAGTAAAATTAAATCATTGATTACTTCAATCTTCTTTCCATTCATCATGAAGTTGTTTATTGGTCTTCTTGTGAAGACTTTCATTTTCTTTATATTGAGATGAAAACTGTATTGAAGGCTGTGCTCTTTGATCTTCATCAGTAAGTGCTTCAAGTGTTCTTCCCTTTCAACAAACAAGGTCATGTCATCTGTATATCATAGGTTGTTAATAAGTCTTCTTCTAAACCTGATTCTCTGTTATTTTTCATATAGTCTACCTTCTTGGATTAATTGCTCAATATACATATTGAATAAATATGATGAAATGACACAACCCTAACACAGAATGTCCTGATCCTACACCATTCAGTATCCACTTCTGCTCTGTGGATGACTTCCTCTTGATCTATGTACAAGTGTCTCGTGAGCACAATGAGCACAATCAAGTGTTCTGGAATAACCATTCTTCACAATGTTATCTAAAGCTTGGTATTACCCACACAATGAAATGCCTTTGCATAGTCAACAAAACACAATGTCCTTCTGGTATTCTCTCCTTTTAGTCAAGATCAATTTGAGATCAGCAATGATATCCTTTATTCCACATACTCTTCTAAAGCTGGCTTGAACCCACAGCAACTTCATGGCAATGTACTGCTGCAATCATTTTTAAATTACCTTCAGCACAGCTTACAAGCCAACACAGTTTGGCAAATTGTCAGGTATAAGTGATGGTGCCTTCGGTTAAACCTTATGAAACACCCTTTTTGATCAAAAGATGGTAAAGTACTATCAGTTTTACGAAATGCAATTTAATATACTTACTAAAGTAAACTCACTGCCACTGAGTCCATTCGGAATCATAGTGACCCTGGATAGAATTTCTGAGACTGTGAATCTTTATTGGAACAGACAATCTCATCTTTCTCCCATGGAGTGGTTGATGGTTGAGAACCACCAATTTTGTGGTTAGCCGTCCAACACTTACCTGACAGTGCTACCAGGGCTTCTAATATGTTTTATTTTACTACACAATTTCCTGAAATCTTTTCCCTTTCAGAAACCAACCATTAATCATTCTTTTTATATACCTGAATTGAATACTACTGATCCCTACTTGCTTTGCACCACCAAGTTCATCCAGGCCCTTGACAACTGATAATCATTCTTTCTCATGCTTTCATCCCATAGTACACCTTCTGTACCACGCCCAGACTCCAGCTTTGGCACAACCATGCACAGCTTCAGCAGGACCTCAGCATAAGTGAAGGGGAGAACAATGAATTCAACAGAGTCAAGAAGAGGCTTCGTGATAGCCAGACCATGCAGCCTTGGAAATCCTGAGAGTTACGTACTTGTAGCAAGTATTGTAGGCAAAATAAACACCTTGCATGGGTCCTGTTACAAGAACCCACCACAAAGCAGTGGGTGGAGTATTGTATAGCCAACAACTGGAAAATACAGCAAGTACTGAGTAAGTGAGAATGGGACAACCACTGAGATGACCGGCAGCATATATGACATTGCAATGGACCTCAAGCTAATGCTCTCAGAAAGGATATAGCCATGTATTGCATGGATTTTAAAAGATACATATTATGAGAAACAAAATTGTGTTCCCAATTGCAAAACTGGGCAAAAATATTTTAAAGACCATAAGAAAAGTCAGTTAAATATAAAAAGTACGGACATTTTGTCTGATTTTTAAAAGAGAGAATATGTTTTCTTCTTTTATTGAAAAATTAACTTATTAGTAAACAAACTGTCTTCATTTCAAAAGGAGAGACAAACATATTGCCAAAAAACAATAAAAATAATATTATAGCTGATATAAAGGTCATTATAGAATATAACCTTCACAAAGAGAAGATTATATATTGCAGAATAGAAAGACATGGGCACACAACTCACAATGGTAAGAACACATAACCAATAAAATCTTTCATTATGTGCAAGTTGTTAGACATTATTTCTTGTTTTTCAAATCAATAAGCAAAGGAAAAGATAGAGAGAAACAGAAAGGAAGAGGGTTCCCAGGATTTTCAAGGTTTCTGTGATAACACTACTTTGGGAAACATCACAAATAGACAATTTTTTAAATAATATAAAATATGCAAGATAAATTATTTCTAGATACAATCACAATACCAAATGTCGCACATATATGTATATATATTTCTAGAAATACATACACATCCACACATATGCATATAAACACATTTATATATATTATATTGCATATTATATATTACAAGTGCCATATATTACATATATCATATATATGTAAATATGCTTGTATGCATGTATACATATAATATACAAGTTGTATTACACATATATTATATATTGCATATATCATATATTATACACACATATAAGGAGCTCTGGTAGCATAGTGGTTACTAATTGGGCTGCTAACCTTAAGGTCAGCAGTTCGAAACTATTAACCGTTCCACTGGAGAAAGATGAGGCTTTCT